CGTGGTGCGCATTAACTTCGCTTTTTCTAAACCAAGAAAAATGTGCAGTGGCGTTCCACAAGGTGGAGTACTCTCCCCTATTCTGTTCAACATCTATACGTATGAGCTTCCTACCATTCCTATTCGTATGGGTGTCTCCTGTTGCGCTTTCGCCGACGACTTTAAGCTATATACTATCGTAAGAGATGTTCTGGGTACAATCTATTAAAAAACGCACTTAGTGAAGTTCACAAATGGTCGCTGGAGTGGTCGTTGCCTATCTCTAGGGAAAAAACTGAAGTACTTCATATTGCCCCGAGGAACTGCAACTCAAATTTTCAGTACTATTTGGGTGATGCTCACCTTCAAAGTGTAACAATGAAAAGAGACCTTGGATTCTCAGTCAAAAATAACCTTACATCTGATGACCATTGTAAGGCAATAGCTGATAAAGCTACTAGAGCAGTAAATGACTTATTCAGAGCATTCTCAACAAACGATACGGTGGTATTTTTGAGAGCATATAAGTCTTTCAAGCCTATACTGGAATATGGCACCGTAATATAATCCATATGTACATAAAACCGCTGATTACATTGAGTAAGTTCAGAATACTTTCACACGCAAACTCTTTATACGCAAGATTGGTTATATCTATGATTTGATACCGAGTGGTAAGATACGCAATATGAATCTTAACCTTACCACGCTTGCCTATAGAAGACGCAAGTTTGACCTAATAATGGCGCATAAGATTGCATATGGTAAATGTGGTTTAGAGTTCAGGGTATTCTTCCCTACCACGGTTTTCACTACGAGGGGGGGCCCTCGTAAGTTGGTTATTCCCAGATCCAGATTACAGGTCCGCAGAAATTTTTTCACTTGTCGTGTTGTTTTTAATATGGACAGGCTCATCAGGAAAGGATTGTTTCCTGCAAAGTTATCTCAATTCAAGACCATCTTGAAGGGTTATCTGCAGTCCGGCACCAGCACTATGACTAACACGGGTCCTTCTGCTATTACTTGACCAAATGTTTGTTTTGCTTTGTTCTTTTGTTGTGTTTATTCCGTTTTGTTCTCAAAATTTTGTTTTACTGTTACTTTTGTTTTACTGTTGCTTTAATATAGGTTGATCCTATGTAATAAATGAAATGAAATGAATGAAATGAACTGAAATAAAGTCGACAGGCAAATTTGATATTTTATATATAAAGCTGAATGTCTGTTTGTCTGTCTGTATGTCTGTCTGTATGTCTGTCTGTATGTCTGTCTGTCTGTCTGTACGTACGTTCCGAATAGAAAATTGCATTTCTGAACCGATCGGGACCAAACTTGGCACACATACATTTCGGGCCCCGGCGGGTGTCATAGGCTACTTTTCGTATCGATCGATATCGATTTTATCGATTTTTTGCAAAATTTGAGCTACGGGGCTAGGAGTTGGCACAGGGGGTAAGTGAGCATGGGGATTCCGAATACAATATTAGTTTTTGAAATCGTGCATTACTTTTATCACCCCCGTGGGGGTGATCAGCATGCTCGATTACACCCCTCTGCCAACTCCCAGCCCCGTAGCTCAAATTTTGCAAAAATCGATAAAATCGACATCGATCGATAACGAAAAGTGGACTGTGACACCCGCCGGGGCCCGAAGGGTATGCGTGCCAAGTTTGGTCCGGATCGTAAAAAATGGAATTTTCTATTCGGAACATACGGCGGAGCCGGGTAAGCCAGTTAGTAGGATGAATATAGTCGGGGAATCGTAATAGCAGCTCTAACAAAAAGGAAACCTATGTAAAAGGAGTCAGATAAATTTGCTCCACATAGCAGGAAGACGGCCATTATGGCAAATCCAAATAGCGAGTGAGAATGACATTCGGAGAAAATCTTTTATTGAAATCAAAAAGACAGTCCGAAGATTCATGAACTCTCAGCGCTCTTTCAAGGACCCTCAGAGAGCCGAGAACAGAATCATCCAAAAAAACGGATTTTTCCGGTCGAAGTGTTGTCTTCAAACTTCGGGCCCCTAAGTGCTTCAGATAAATATGATTGAGGGAAATAAAGCATATAGAAAGTCAGTAGTGTACTTTCCTAATGAAGCATTTAGTTGCGTATCCTGGGATGTACTCTGTTAAAGTTAGGGCTTTTAATTCTTTATTTTCGAAGTTTTCAAGCATAAAGGGTATTTTTCTTTGAACCCCTTTTCTCAAAAAATTCTCATGGGATATGCGCTGTAGCCTAAAAATCAATTTCCATAGATTGTATGAGGACTGTCTCTCTGCCACGTCAGTTTGGCTTTTTTTCAAAATCGCTTCGGAGTAACAAGACCATTTGGGATGACTTACGAGCTGCTAACCCGTAACAAGAAACAGAACAATTTAAACATTTACCAGGACAACTTGTCGCTTTCATCAATGATATAAAAATATCTTCCTTTCCAGTGTCTCGGTTCAGTTAGCTACGGGGCTGGGACTTCGTACAGGGGAAGGAAGGGTGTGATTATCTGCAAATTTTATTTTTTCGCTTTTATCGATGATCTACGAAGCTGGGTGTTTGGTATGGGGGGTAAGCCGAGGATGCTGATTGAAAATAAAATTTATTTTGTCGATTTTACCTATTTTTAGAAAAATCTTGAGCTAGCAGTTCGTATAGAGGATATGAGATGCTGACTATGAATGGATCAGCTTTAGCCGATTACGTCAGCAAGTTTTAGTTCTGGTTGCTCTAGTTATACGATAAGTCATTCGAATATTTATTCGAAAGTGGACCTCCAATGTTCGAATATTCATTCGTTCGACAATTTGATTTTCCGATTTTATTCGGAATTCATTCATTCGAGAATTTCTAAATCTCGAATTCATTCGATATTTGTTCAAGATTTTTTTTATTTTCGAGTTCCATTAAGCAGAAAATTTGACTTTTTCGTGAAAGGCATTGTTCCACAATGCAGACAACTAAAAATGCACGTTGTCGTCAACGTGGTAAATCATATTATTGAACTTGCTTCATTGACCAAATTCAAGTAGATGCTTACACAGAAAGCTCAAGGAAAGAATACAGCCTAAAACCTAGCACCTGCTGCGCTCCTATACCTTTCAATTTATTTTACATTCCGTTTTCAAAAGATTGGTATCTGGCGAACGCAACTACTAAGATGTGATAGCGCAAAGCCTTCTCTAATTATGTGCATTAAAGTTTGTAAAATATTCACAGTTATAGTGTGGACCCCGGCCAGCTTCCCATAGGTATCGCCGCGGCGCATACGCAACGCGCGCTCGGCCTGACGCTTCTCGTTCACTCATGAGTAAAAAAGCATTTCTACATGATTTAGGAATGGAATAAGAAGTGGAAACCATCAGCCTCAGCTCGAGAAGGGTCTAGGCAAGAAGAGAACGTTCACAACCCCCACTAGCGCGCAGATATCAGTCAATCTCCTGCATGCTAGTATGAAAGTACCGCTGATTGAAAATTCTAGAAGAGACAAAGAGTCGAGGGTTACTTTCGAAACGTTTCCTTCTGTGATCATTTGAAAAAAGTTAAAAAGCGCAAGCCAGCGAGCACATCTGTACAATCAGAGCTCCACTGACGCATTACAAAAGAACAAGAAGCAATTATACTTTATAAATCAATCGGATAGGCACGCTTACTCTGTAATCAAAATCTTTAGAGAAATATTCACAAAAATATGCTACAGTCTGCCCCAATCGGGATCAGGCCGAACCGTTGGCTGAATTTGCGCGCTCGCAGCGCTAGGGGATTGCGCTGCATATGCGCGCTGTCGCAGAGAGTGAAGAGATCGAGGAGAGAGCAGACTAGCTAGCGGCAGATGTGGCGCGAAACCCTCGCAGCGCGGACTCCCGCCATGCCGATTTTGGCCTGGTTAGGATTGGGGCAGACTGTAAAATCTTCGCTGTTGAAACAAAGGGAATTCCTGAGACAAAGGCTGTTACGACTATTGAGGCTCTTAAAAACCCATCATAGGAAGTTGTCCTGAGTCGTCTACACCTGAAACAGAGCCTTCATAAACAGAACAAAGCCAATTTAGAGAAGAAAACATAACAATTTCCATATGAAGCAGAAACGAAAGCGCACTGAAGGCATGCGCTGCGGGAGCGTCGCGCAGGTACCTATGGGAAGCTGGCCGGGGTCCACACTATAGCTTCGAAATAAGGTGACTAAAAATTTTGATTTCTCGATCTGCAGAAACACTTGCTTAGATGCAATTCTTACAAAAAATATGTAAAGCATCTTTAGCCAGGTAAAGCATGATTTGTAAAGGATGATTGCAGCACTGGCAAAAATTTAGAGTCAAATCATTAGTGGTTTCGTAATTCACACGCTGCAAAGCCGGCTCCCAAATCTCTGCCCACACTGTATAACAAGTGGAGCGAATCTTTTGCAAGCTATAATTTTATTGGCATGTTTCTATTGTCACTAGTTGTCAATCATTTTTCTGATAACCAGACTTCCGCTGTTTTTCACTGCAATCGTGCAAAAATTTCAAGCCAGATCACAATATTTTGCATTTCCACACCTGTGTACCGTCGTACGACAAACCAGAAATCTCTTTCCACATCAACTTTAGAACCTCACAAATTCCAAGTTTTTCCACGTATTTGGCGACGTTATGAACAACGCAATGTTCTCAAATTCTCACGTTTGAAAAAGGTCTTGGAAATGAAAGACTGGACTAAAAATAGAAAATAAAATTTAAAAACTTGGACAAAGTAGATAAGGCAAGAATGCGAAACTTTTGAGTACATATTTGCTCGTTGACGGAATCACTTCAAGGACGTGTATCGGGAAGAGGAAAGAATTTTGCTTACAGTTTGAGGCTTATTTCCGCGGTTTCGTTCAACGAAATCATTAGATCAAGCCCTAATATTTATTTAAAATAGTTGCTACTGTTCTCTAAAATGGTGAACTCGTGTGTCAAAAAAAATCGATTGTTTGAGAATGCCTGCAAATAGTGCACTTAAAACTTTCAGAATTCGTAATATGCGCCGCAAAATTTCAAAGGTCTACATTTGCTTCTTCTTTCTTTTCGTTCCTCCATTGTATTTGGCTAAAAATATTTTTGTCGAAGACCAGATACAAGACACATTAAAGACTAATGCCACCGACTGTTCAATAGTCCGTGAAGAAATATGGCACAAGCAACTTTTTTGCCATCCGTGGTACATCCATAAGAAGCAGTGCAAGCGCCGCATTTACTCCTATGTCTGAGCTGAAACATGCCATTCATCATGTAAATTACGAGGAGTGCGGACTGTTGCACAGTTAGCAAGAGATAAGACTGGGGTTAATGTGTAGGAAATTAGTTAAAGGGATTAACACGAGAAGTCATGAGAAATATGACATGCTGCGCTATATACAAAACATTCCAGTTCTGTACTGAAGGAGGTAGACTTGACGTATCCTCGACATAATTCATATACTCTTTGAATTAAAGGGATTGGCGGTTAGGAGGCGACCCCTCGCACCCGCGACGCACCGCGTCTCCCCGCGAGCGTGCTATCTGACCATTCCCTAGCTTCAATTGTCCCCCCCCCTCCCGTTTTCCAACCGCCAATCCCGTTGTATTAAAGGGTGTTTTTTGCACATAACTTTGACTTAACTTTAATATCGCGAACATTGAAAGCAACGGTCGAAACGGCATGCTTCAATTAATTCAAAATTTCAGCATTTCTGTGTCCCTGTTGCTAAAAGACTTTAATAGTTAGTACTGCACTGAAGTTTTTTTTAAATATTTTTCATTTAATCGCAGTGTAGCTACTCATTTTTAAAAAGAATTCTTGAATGTTTTTATGGGGCTGTTTCATAGCTAATTTTGAAAAGCATTACAATACCGCTCACATTTTTTGAAAAATAGACGCGAATGTATGGACATGTATGGACATGTACGGACATCAGCGTCGCGTGGCCATATCTCTCTTCAGAGTGGACGAATTCTCAATGCAAAGCCACCATTCGATTCAGCTCGGCGCGGAGAATCTTCGTTATAATGAAAGTGGGGGTACGATGTCTTCGATATTCCGTTTCCAGTTTTTTCAATTTGTTCTGCGGAGGTCCTTTCGCGAATATGTGGAGCAACGCCTACCCAACATAGAAGACTTTACTGAGTACTATTCGATAATACTGTTCTTGTAGATTATTGTGCGCTAAAAATAGGCTCAGACTTCTTTCCGAAGGAGATAGAAGCCTTAGTGAATTTTGGAAAAATCACGCGTTTTTAAATTCTACTCGCCATAACTTCCTTCGGGATAAGTACATTTTGAATAAGAAAGCAGCGCCTTGCTCAGCTCGTCTAGGCGAATCTTTCTATATACAGCATGTCCTTGATATTTCGATTTCAGTATTCTTGAATCTTTCTGAGGACGTCTTTTCGCGAACGTGTAAAGCAGCGAGCATTGTCCCGAGTACATTCCAGCAAGGATCTTTCGATAGCACTTTTTTTGTAGATTATGACGTGCTAAATGGCAGCCGCAGGTTTCTTTTCAAAGGAAATAGAACGGCTGTGAATTGTGGAAAAATCTTGTCGTCCCAAATTCTACTCGCCATAGCCGCAGGATACGAAGCTATCTTGCTAAGCAGATGTGAGTTTTTAAATCAGCAGGTCGGATAACCTCTGTTAGCAAGTTTTTCGATATGTTCGGGTCATTTCATTTTTTCTCGTTTTACGCTCCAGAAGCTCGCCGATGGATTTTGGTCAAAATGTTGATGCTCCTGAATTGTAGGGAAACTTCGCTTATAGAGGTTTTCGAACACGCCCTTTACGAAAATCGTGGTCTTTGAGGATTACAGGGTCTATTTGGAGAGCAACGGTGAGGTGACTGTAACTTCATCACTAAAGTGCGTAACTTTGGCCGCACTTCTCGCGTATCTGTCAGAGACCTTGCCTGCTTGCTTTTTTGAGTCAAAGTTACTAGGAATTGTGCTATCGAATGGTGCATGACACAGGCTCCAATCTATGTGAATCGCCGAGTTACGAGCCTATGAAAACACGTCCTCATGAATTTTCAAAAATGCAAAGATCGTAAATTTCGTCGAAATTCTACCGTGAGCGCTTGTACAACGCGCTGATCAAATCCTTCCACATTTTTATTGGATCTTATTGTGTTGTATTTGATGCTTTGAGCTCTAGCCACGAAATAGCTTTGATATTCAATTGAGCAGGTGAAGCAGACGCAAGCACCATATTCAGTACAGTGGGAGTCGTTCGACGAAGCGAACATAATACCTGCAACGAGCGTCATACAAGCGCTCACGGAGGAATTTCGACGAGATATGCGATCTTTACTTGGGCAAAATTTATGAGGACGTGTTTTCATAGGCTCGTAACTCGGCGATTCACATAGATTGGAGCCTGTGTCATGCAACATTCGATAGCACAATTCCTAGTAACTTTGACTTAAAAAAGCAAGCAGGCAAGGCCTCTGACAGATACGCGAGAAGTGCTGCCAAAGTTACGCACTTTAGTGATGAAGTTACAGTCACCTCACCGTATCTCTCCAAATAGACCCTGTAATCCTCAAAGACCACGATTTTCGTAAAGAGCGTGTTCGAAAACCTCTATAAGCGAAGTTTCCCTACAATTCAGGAGCATCAACATTTTGATCAAAATCCATCGGCGAGCTTCTGGAGCGTAAAACGAGAAAAAATGAAATAACCCGAACATATCGAAAAACTTGCTAACAGAGGTTATCCGACCTGCTGATTTGAAAACTCACATCTGCTTAGCAAGATAGCTTCGTATCCTGCGGCTATGGCGAGTAGTTTGGGACGACAAGATTTTTCCACAATTCACCAGCCGTTCTTTTTCCTTTGAAAAGAAACCTGCGGCTGCCATTTAGCACGTCATAATCTACAGAAAAAGTACTATCGAAAGATCCTTGCTGGAATGTACTCGGGACAATGCTCGCTGCTTTACACCTTCGCGAAAAGACGTCCTCAGAAAGATTCAAGAATACTGAAATCGAAATATCAAGGACATGCTGTATATAGAAAGATTCGCCTAGACGAGCTGAGCAAGGCGCTGCTTTCTCATTCAAAATGTACTTATCCCGAAGGAAGTTATGGCGAGTAGAATTTAAAAACGCGTGATTTTTCCAAAATTCACCAAGGCTTCTATCTCCTTCGGAAAGATGTCTGAGCCTATTTTTAGCGCACAATAATCTACAAGAACAGCATTATCGAATAGTACTCAGTAAAGTCTTCTATGTTGGGTAGGCGTTGCAACCACATATTCGCGAAGGGACCTCCGCAGAACAAATTGAAAAAACTGGAAACGGAATATCGAAGACATCGTAGAAGATTCTCCGCGCCGGGCTGAATCGAATGGTGGCTTTGGATTCGGAATTCGTCCACTCTGAAGAGAGATATGGCCACGCGACGCTGATGTATGGACATGTCTACATGTATGGACATGTACGGACATGTCCATACATGTATGGACATGTCCGTACTTGTCCATACATGTCCATACATTCGCGTCTATTTTTCAAAAATGTGAGCGGTATTGTATGCTTAACCCATTGACGACGATGAGGGTCACCGGTGGCCTACACACTTTTTGCTGCCATGGACGATGAGTACCACCGGTGAAGTCTCAAATAAGGGAGAAGAAAACTTTGGACATATCTGAGAGCTTATGTTGGCCTGGTACTCTATTAACAAATATTTGATGAAAGCATCGTTATTCTGTGCTGAAGTTAAAGAATAAGTAATTGGTTCCCTTACCTTTGCTATACCTTCATCTACTTTTGTCATGACTTTTTCAGAGTACCCTAATCTGCAAAGTGAGTAACTAAGAAAGTTGAAAAAGGTTATAAGGATGCTAAACTCACTTCTTGCTTACACGCAGGTATGAAAATGTTTTGTTAAATTTAAAGCAACTACCGCTCAGTACCTTTTCTGCAATTATCTCCATATGGCACGAATAATCCTGGAATCATATAATTTTTTTTTACTAGGTGATGTTGGTTCAATCTTGTACGCTCAGATAGGCCAAGTGACTACTGATGAACATTAAACAAACCAAATTCTTGTAGTGCATCTCTTTTAAACTCCAAAGTAGAAGTGTACGTCTGGCTTGAGAATCTTTGCAGGCAAGATTCGGCGCATAAGGACAGCCCCTGCTTTTCTTGGTTCCCTTATCAATTTCATTTGAAAAGTGTTCACGCATAATCAGAGTGACATAAAGCGAATGGACAACCTGAACCAAATGTAAAATCGTAAAACTCGAAAATATGAAACTCACATGTGTTATAGAAATGAGCATTACTTCCAAGTTTTGGTACGCTCTCCATTTTCATGCTATAAATGCCAAACAAAGAAAGATTAAAATTCATTGCGTGAAAAGAATCTATGGTTTCAAGAGTGCATTTCTTTGTTCACTCTCTCTGAGCCAGTCAGCAGAGGTGCAGTTAATTGCAGCCCCATAAAATTCATCAACTCTGTTGCTCTAAAGGTTCTCGCCCACGTTTGCTCTTGTTCTGGAATAACACCGCACTGTTTGAAATGAAAATTGGGTACACATGCGTGAATATTCCGGCCAGTAAAGAGTTTTTTCTTAACGAAAAAATACATTGAGATAACACTAAAGGAAAATGTCTTTGAATTGGCGGCACCTTTTCTTTCTCATACCGTTCCCCAAGCGCTGCTGAGCATCAACGACCCAACTCTCTGTTAGCATTCATGTAAACAAACAAAGGGGGCCGTTTCAAATCAAACTCATCCCTATCAAGTCTTGAAGTTCTTACATGAGGAATTTCAACGACAGTTTTAATGTGTAACATCTTCTCACTGATATCATGTAATACAGTTGCTTTAGCAGGATTCAGCAGAGGCGTTGAATCAAAGTGTAATACTTGAAATCTTCCGCTCTGCTGCCACCAACATACAAATCAAGTAGTTTTTTACACCAGACCAGACAACTACGACTTGGAATTCTCGAAATATTGCGAAATCCTGAGTAACTATCGCGATTTTTCAAATGTATTGAGATCGGTAGAGGTGACTTCTTCTTCAGTGCCAAATTACCATACCCTAGATCAAGTCTAAAGCCTTGTGGGTGTGTTCCGAAAGATCTAAAATTTGAGCTTTACCAAAAGAAACCATTGTATGTTTGATAATTTTGAAGAGAACGTCAAAAATACAGACTCTATCCGGAAATCGCACTACTAATCATTGATAAATGCAAAAATTAGAATTAGGATCGATTTTTATATAGCCCTCTCAGTAACTCAATTGTTATAAAAGCAGCATAGAGCTGCAATGGGCAGACTTACTCAAACGCACTTTCTAGTCAGGCAAAACCTCACCAAGAACGAGAATTCTCTTCTCGATCCTCGGTTGTGCAGTTTTTGCTAGCGCAAAGGGAAAAATCATCTTCTGAGAGGTAAATATAGTAAAGTAATAACAGAAAATGTAAGAGGTTTTACAGAATATTTGCCTATAAGACTAATTAACCGGGGGCGATGATTGCATGAAGCAAAAATGAACGAACATTGCTTTAGGAGTAGAGGAAATTAGGGTTGATGGGGAAAGATCCCAGTGAAAGTTTATCAATTATTGCCTTTCCGAATCCCCTATGGTATGCACGATTTAACCTGGAAGAAAACTCACCAGCAACTACACATTGATGATTTTGGATTGATTTAGAGATGCTCACTTAGGAAATACTAAGTTGCTTGAAAATTGAGTTTTTTGCTTGTATAATGAATGGTGCAAAGTTGGGGGTGCAAGAGTGAATGAGGCTTGCATCTGCTAAAAATTGAAAAACCGTTTTTTCTCCTCCTCCACTGAACTTCCGATGCTTCTTACAATGGAGGAATTGCAAAACAGTTGTATCGAATTGCAAACAAGATTTTCCTATTTCAAGACGTGAGTCAGTTGTCATAGCCACACACAGCTGATGAAGATCAACCTAACCATTCTGATGAATTTAAGGTAAAATAACGTATGAATCTTACCTCGGAAAACTGCACACGAATATACTCAAGCATAATTTATGTAATCCAAAGTATTTGAAAAAGAATCAAGGCAAAGAAAGCAGAGCTAAGAGCGAATATCGCCGATTTTGTTATTTTACGAGGCAAATTTCATTTGTCATATTAACGTGATAACGCGCACTTAAGCCGTTAAGCTTTATGTTATGCTTTCAAGGGAAAATCGTTTATAGCGTTGTAAGATTGCTTTCTTTTACGCGAAATATAACTTTTAGAATTTTCAATGTAGCAATCCCCTCACGCAACGATCAACTTATTGCAAGAATTTCGCTTGATGATTAGACCTTCGGAGGCATAAACACGCATGGTATTGCCATAAAATAAGAATTGGCCTATTTACATATATATCGGTTGTTTTAAATCAAAACGTAATATAGCATCTGCCACTTTCGCTGTCCACGACAATGGTGATGCTTACAATCTTGGTTGGAATTCCGCTTCTTCTACTTGTTGATGCTCACGTTTTTGACCGAGGTTTAGTTGGAAAATAATTTTCTAAAAGACGGAGCAGAAATATCAATATGCATTGTAGGAATTGCAGAGATGGGACCAATACAAAGACAAGATCGTTTAGCCGACCTCCGTAAGTCACATTTACATTGCCAAAAAACAAAATTAGCAGAACAACAAAACAGAAAGACGACAATTACCTTTTGTTCAAGTTTTTAGCGTCTATTGTGATATAAAATGTGTGGTCTTTGTGTAAGACTCATTGTTATTTTTTCAGTGAAAAAAGGAACAGTGTATGTTGCCAGAACAGGTACGTTTCTAACTAAATTGAGCCGATAAACTCAGTTGAAGAAAAAAGTTTATCAACGCAGTTATCAAAAAGTGAAAATATTTTTGCTGGGAAGGAAAGGGGAGTATTATTTCATCGAGCATACAAAGGCTTAACTTACGTAGCACATGGTGCTTCCACAAGTTTATCTACGTGTTTTTTTCCAAGTAAAGAAGTATTAGACTGATTTACGTTTTTCAGCTGCAAAAGATATCGATAACCGCTCTTCCAGGTGTAAAAAGTGTTAATTGGGCGGGCCGCGTATGTTTGCTTTCTAGCGCACGATTGGCTTGTGAGTGGAGACATCGTATCTACCGTACCCACGAGCCAATCGCGCTCTAGAGGGTAGGCATACGCCGTCCGCCCAAATAATACTTTTCACTTGTGAAAAAGCGGGTTATTCATGTCTTTTGAAAGTGCAAAGTACAGTCTTGGACTTAGCTCATCCAGAGGAACCGAAAAAGAAAAGAAAAAAGATGAATATCCGAATTTTGTCAATTTGCCGAGCCGCTGCCTTTGAAGAGCTAGCCCCTAAGCGTCAAGCACTTATGTTAGCTCCCATAATTCCGATTGTATTACTAAATTTGAAAATGAAATTTGCGCCACAATTTTAGAAAATTTAGGGAGCAGTGATCCGAATTATGAAGCTCCTGGAGTGAGAGTAGTCAAAAAGTATCGCTTCACTCCCAGACTTCCAGGCCTGAACCAGCCACGCGGTGACACTTTTAATTTCATTCGTAAAGCTACAGCTAATTTGTTATTGTTTTCAGTGAAATACATTACATTGCCGGATGACGAGAAACGTAAGTTGCCCGAAGGAACCTAGTCAATGCTACAGCTATCTATTTGTTCCCAAGAAAAACCCTAGCTTCGCTCGTAAGTGCAATCATGCACTTATCAAGGGCTAATCAGGAGAGGTAGCGAAGCTCGAAAACCTGAGTTGATAGGTTGATAAAGCGAAAAAATAACCAAAATTCAAATTTGTCGCTAGTTTGGAGCGTCAGGAACTGTTTATTTGGTGTACACTGCAAACTCGTCAACATTTTGCCGCTTAATAGTGATTGTTTTCAGTTCGCGTTGCAAGACCATGGACAACGCGCATTTTGCCAGGTTCTTCTCGAATTAATAATTTTCTATTAGCCAAGTATAACCAAGTATACGGGGTGTCCCAAAAATGTCCTTAATGTTCGCTAGTTGGTAGCTTTCGCCAAATTTTAATTAGTAATATGTAGACCAGGTCTCAACATAGATTGCAGTATGGAGCAAACCACTGCCGCTCTTTATCACCTTACTGTATGAGAACCAGGCATATGGCGTCTCTGTAATGTATCCTTGTAAAATCACGCAAATCCAAACATCGAAAAACTTTTGCGCTGAGATTTTCAAAAATGCAGTTTCTAGCAAATGACCTAATACATACAGTGCTGGACATAATTACAAAGACACTCTAGAAATCAATGTAATTTACGTTCTTCTTGATGAACTTGTTTGCAACTTTGCTATGTGGTGCGCATGTAAGCCTATCACATCTCCTCAAGACGGCTTCCAATCCCGTTGATTTCGAATGGAGAAAAGTGGAAAAGTTCGAAAAAGCCCGTTTTGAAAGCTGGACAAAATTATAAAGACACCTGTCTTTTCAAACATCATCGCATTCTTTGACTCTCGAAATTTGAGATTCAGGGAAGGCGATAATGTTTGAAAAGACCAGGTGTCCTTATAATTTTGTCAAGCTTTCAAAAGGCTTTTTCGAATTTTTCCATTTTTCTCCGTTCGAAATCAACGGGATTGGAAGCCGTCTTGAGGAATTATGATAGGCTTACATGCGCACCATATAGCAAAGTTTTCAAACAAGTTCAACAAGAAGAACGTAAATTGCACTGATTTCTATGGCGTCTTTATAATTATGTCCAGTACTGTATTTGAGAGAAAAATCCTACAGTAACGAAAAGGGATCGGTAATTTTCTTCATACGATGGGTCTGAGTTATAGCCAGTTCTACAGAATAGTATTTAGATGTTTGCGAAGGAAGTGTCAAGATAGATGTCAAGGATCATCCAACTTTTGGGACACCCTATATAAACATTCTTTTTCTTTTTAAAAACCTATTTCAGTGTTTCAGGGACCACTGATGGTTTGTGGCCAAACTCACTCGACGATACAAATCTTGAAAGATTGTTGAACGGATATGTAGGTACGTTTTCAACAAGCTTGAGCTACATATATCAATAAAAAGGGATACACAAAAAAGTTCACGATTGTTGGATTGCAGCTTCGCTTAACATAACTTTTTAAACAACATAGAAAGGATACCCGAGAAATTTTGCCGTGTTATAAGCTCAACAGTCTATATCTACTTGAATGTGCGTAGAAACAAAAATTTTTACTTCCAGTTCTCTCCTAAACGCCGGCTTCTTTCAGTTCCCCTCCAAGATTTCGAAACATCGAGCTTCGATCTTCCGGACGGCAGAGGTTCGTAAAACTTGTTGCATTTATCATACTTTTACGGCATGAGGACAGCATCCGGGTAAAACAATGGCTGGAAATTTTTTGTTCATCACGAGTTACCTCCCCCCCCCCCTCTGATTTTATAATTGCAAGCTGTACAGCGCAACAAGTCGACAACGTGTTTCTCGAGACCCCTAACTTTGAATATAAATGTAGAAATTCTACAAATGCTCGTAGTAATTTCAACACAATCAAGCCCGTCAAAATCAAGAGGCGTTGTCGTTGTGGGATCCCTTTTACACTATTGGCGCGATATGCTTTGGCTTGCCGTTTGAGTCGGTTAATGAGTAGGGATTCTGGGTAGGGTCCTCCTACGACGGAGCCCACGATGAGCTTGCAATAGGAGCGAAAGTTTGAGGTGGAATTGGGGGTTAAAGCATTGTCTTGTGAAGGCTATTACATGCTTGCTATCTCGGTATTTTCACATAAGTTCGGGCACTACCTTTGAGATTCTTAAAATGACACAGTGTCTTTTTTTATTTGCTGGGCTCAAAGTGCACCAGTAAATTGACAAGTCTTCGTATCAAGAAAGGAAACAGATCCATTAATGAGTGACGCGGCCTCAGATCGATTTAACACGACCATAGAGTTTGGAATGGATTTTTCTTAGCTGGTGCGGCAGTGGCACAGTCTAAATGCCTTCCTCTTCCAAGCATATGTAATGACCCCTTTAATTACGATGTGTGCGTGCCATGCAAAGAAATCCAACATTTCACCATTCTTCCTATGTTTTGATACCTGAAAAAGACTCTGACAGATAGGCGTCGAGTATAATTTGAAATGTTTGAGATAAATTCATACTCCCAGCTCTTTTGACATAAGAAGAACATCACTGCTATAAACATGGCTAAATTGTTGTGGGGCTTTTATTACGCCACCAAAAACATGTTACCGATACTCATCTATCTAGAAAAATTTGAGTTCTATTCTGATAAGTCCTCCAAAAAAATTTGTTTTTTTTTCAGTTGTGCGTTGGGCTAATGCGCAAGACAGAGGTGAGTACACGCTCATAAAATAGGTTACATAAATCTTATAGGTTTTCTTGCTAATGTGTGCAAGTATATTCCATAGATGGGGTACACTTGAGTGCATATGTTTTGCATTTTTGATCTTCTTCACTGTTCAGGCTAGGTTGTGCTTGACGGGCTGCGTGTACAGTGCATTTCTTACTCAAAAAGCTATTGCCAAATTAGCACATTCTATATGATGTACAATTGTACATAATAGCAAGCGAACCTATGCAAGTGCATGCTACTTCCATGCTGAGTATTTATAGAACGGATGCCGATAGATGCTGAGCCTGCTCTCATGCAATTCGATGAAAATGGTGAGGATATCCTCCTGTTTGAAACGGCGATGTACGGTTACTTTGACAACAACGAGAAGACTGAATAATCACTGAGCATAACGTTGAAATATGGAGAGTAATGCACCTTTCCAGCTGGCAGGGGATAGGAGTCACTATAGCCGTAGCATCTATAATGCTACCGAAGATCACTCCTCTAAGCGTTAACACTTTAACACCAAAAAATTATGAATTTTAGCAAAGGATTTTTCGAACTTGAAAATGATATCAGTGATTTTATTTTTGAAAGAGCTTTTCTTTTACCAAGGTTCCCAGTGATTTTACATGTTGTGTTTCAAAATATTGCTTTCTTGCAGCAAGAAGAAATCCTGAGCTCTATCACGAGTGGCTTGCGTGATACGATACAATAAAGCTTTTTTGTTCTCTTACTACTGTAATGAATGAAATCGGAACTGGAGAGAATGCCATTATTGCTAGATCAAACTGCAAGAGTTTACTGCTACGTCAAACAGAAGCCAATCAAATAAGCTTTAAAACTCACTAAGTGCTGGTCTCTAGATTTTTTGTTTGCTTCATAATGTTTCTGAGGAAAACCAAGTTAGAGGTTGATGACAATGTTACAAATATGTACTTAGGGTCTCCGATTATGTACGCCAAGTTGCTGATGATAGATGGAAACCCATGTCGAGTAACCTTTCATTTTATGATACAGTTTAAATTATATTCAGAAGCATCGTCCACGCAGGTCTCAAGTTTTGTTTCCTCTCACTCGTTAATGAACCAGTTGGAACTAGCAGCCAAAATACTAATCTATTTGAGAGCAACTTTGGGTTAACCACAACCTTTCGAAGACCGACAAATGTGTCTAAACTGAAATGTTTGTGAGGAATGACAGCATGCCAGAATAGTCCGTTTGAGTGTGCGCAGCTGTTTTCCTAGCTAATTCTTCATAACCCCAAATTTTGAATTCGGACTAAATTCGGAGTTAACTCTGAGTTTGGCAAAAAGACAGGAATTGTGTCAAAGGAGACGAGCAGAAGCTTCGTTGAAAAGTCCCTCGGAGTAATTTTGCTCCTGATTTCAAAGCTAGCATAAGGGGAGTATGGCCAATAGTTGGCAAATTCAATAAGGAAATCGCAATGATTACTATACGCTTTATACTGCGGTAAAGTTGTAGAAGTTACGGCGGTTTATGTTTGCTGAGCCGGAGTCACAAAAGTCCGTTTTCAGGTAAACAAGCAACACCCTAATTGCTCTAAAGACAAGGCTAAAGGAACCCGCGTTCCATGAGACGCGTTGACTGGAGAAGTGCTAAGGGAAGGCGCACAGTTTGGGGGCACACGCGCAGCGATTTACCGTGATCTGTCGCGTTTAGAGCAGATGGGTACGGCCACAGGGCTTATCAACTACAGTGTCGGGAGTACCAGCACCTCTGATCCCGCGAGGCAACTTCGCCTGGACTCTGCACTTCTTTCGCGAACACACTAAGTGATCACTTTCCCACCGCTGACGTGCGGCGGAACCTCAGTTTGAGCGTTTTACGGAAGAGATGCAGAGTTCCGCGCGGGAGTAGAGATGCTCGTGCACCCGACGCTGCAATTGATAAGCCCTGTACAATTGATAATAAGGTAACTTGAACTACATTAGGAATTTTCGGCGCGATGACATCGCTTTCTGCTTTTACCGCAGCTGCGTGGTTAACAAAGTAAGATCGCAAAGTTGAGCCGAACTTGGTTCTTTGGGGTTATTAAGCGCTCTGGTGGAGAATATGTCAGTGACTTCATACAGAAGTGTCACGTGTGTAGGCTACGCCAGGTATACGATAGGTAAGTTATGGTCTAAAATCTAAAAGGCCTATAAGATTTTCCTAGGCGCTCACAAGTTTACAAAACGGTTTATACATTGGTGTCATCGGTTTAAACATTGGTGTTAAGCCCAAATCGCCTCAGGGAGGTTATTGCGCAAATCTAATCATCTAATCAAATCCAATCGTTTCATTCTTATTAACATTCGTTTCGAGTTTGGAGCCTTCATTCGCACACGAGGTCAATCCGTACGATGAACGCTACCTGCGGAGAGTGGCGGAAATAAGTGAATAAGCGATTAATAAAACATACCTTTAGCGGCTCTGTTAGAGATGTTTTGACATAAAGATGTTAGTAAAGCTGATAAAGCGAGAGGCTTTACAGATGCATCGTGGCCTAAAAACTCAGTGAGACTCAGGACGCTAACCCGAACAGGGTCGTCCTATGATGTGACTTTTCTTGGGCTTCGCTTTTGCAACAAAATGCAATAGCTCTCTCAAACAGCAAGTTGGAACTCCAAGTTTGAAAACCGAAATCTGCAATTTGGGCGGGATTTTCAGTTTCAAAAAACGAAAACTGGAGTTGACTTTGAGTCAGGGCTCGGCACGAGATGGCTATTTGAAAATGGAAAAAACGAAATCCTACTTGAACCTCAGCCATAATCCTTGGAAAACCTCCGAAAAACGAAACGTCAAGCAAAAAAAAAACGCCAATTGCGTCTCTTCGGCCACAAAAACGGAACCCCCTTTGCTTTTTGTCCCCAAAAACTATATTTAGCTTGCTGATAAGCCACCTGTGCCGAGCCCGCTTTGAGTCAATGCAAAAGTTCGAAATTCAGAGTTTCAATCCGATTTCCGCCGATCTTGTCTTCACAAGCCTTATGAGCCTGGGTCAAAAGCGCACTTGAAGGGTATTCTCAGCAAATTGGATTCTTGCAGGTTTTGGTGATTTTGACAATCCTCTCACTAGGTGAGGGCCCACAGTCGAAACCGGTTTTCCAAATGGAATATATACCAATTTGAAGAGCATCATACGCTGACACCAAAACTCTTTGGGTTTTTGCCAAGTACCTCGGTCGCTGAGTTATGAGTGGCTCTTGAAGCGAAAAATGATAGCAAGGTCGAGGTAAAATCAATGGTTATAGTCTTTTCAGCGCTCAAATAAGGAAATGTTGAATGCCAATTCTATATAGAAAAAAGGTTTTTATGCATAGAGTGTTCTAACACCCAACACTAGGCCATTTGCGCAATCTTGGGCGAATTTGTTCCAGGTGCGCGTTCAATTCTTTGAGCCAACAAACGCTTATGATTCAGCGTCTACAGGGGCTCTGCAGATAACAAAGACAGTCTCGGAATCAGCTTTTGACGCTCTTCAATTTGGTTTATATTTCACGTGGAAAGCTGACTTCGTCTTCCCTTGTAGATACAACATGGCCCAGTCCCATGGTTCAATAAATTTACTAAATCTTAATTGGATGCGTCGAAATTCTGTCATATCTACCTACCAGACGGGCGCCAATGGTAAAACTTTGAAGAACACCTTCAAAAGTCCAATGATGAATCATAGGATAAATTAGGGTAAGGGTATAAGTATTGCGAGAATTTATTAACGACAATTTGACAGAAATCCAATTTGCAAGCTGCTGTTTTCATGTAGGGACCGCTTCAGAAAATCATCCCGGACATACTAGTTCTCAATATGTACAGACATGAACCACTCTACAGTAGCCAATACAACGAGAAATGCCTTTCTGGTCGAAGTGATTTGTGGTGAGATACATATTGCTGAAAGTAGCGTTAAATGCTGATCTTGAAACTGCAATCTCTCTATGGTACGTCTTTTGAAAATTGCGCATCAGAAACAAAGATTCAGAAGCACCACTTGTGAAAATATTTGAACATGCGACTTTTTGTGCAAACGATTACACTCGCGCTGCGTCACTTCGTCATGATAGTACGTTTTGCGGTGCTTCTGTACCAAGTGATGTGTTAACATGGCCAAACCTATGAATTTTCACAGAAAATATTTCACAGAGAAAGGTTGCAGTGTGGAGATCAGCATTGATCAATAACTTTAGAGCATATATCTTCTCCTGGCCACTTTGACTAAAATGGCATTCCTTGTAAGAGGAGACCTAGTTCGCCTTTTTGCAAAGGTTGCTTTTTTCGTGTTTGACAATATTGTATAAGGTGATGGCAGACGGTAAGCGAAGGTTAGTGTACTCTGTTTTGTATGCAAGTTATAAACTCTTAAGTTTTTAAAATAAAATCTTTGGCCTATTTATCAACGGACGTGTTGAATAAGCCGCACACTTGTCGCGGCTCGCGATCGACCGCTCCTCACAGCATGTGGCCGGGAGCACCGTGTTGCCGCGCGTCTCGGTCGTGGGCACGGTCGCCGCGCTTTACGGCGGCTACCTTGTTCGCTCCGAGACCACACCATGTAGGCACGCCCCCAACCACCGCTATAAATAGCGCGTACGCGCGCCAGTGCGGCCTCTCTCGTCTTGTCATCTTACTATTATCGTCGTGCCGCCTTTATTATTGATTGGTTGGGTTTCCACGATATCGCCGTCGTGTCTACGTCCCCGTGCCTCGCGCGATTGGATGGACTGTTGATGGATTGTTTGGATGTACGCGCGAGGATAGAATTCCAGGATGATGAACATCACGAAGCGCCTTGGTCGCGCAGGATTTGTTGGGAGCTTTGTTCGATGCTGTTGGTTAACATCATGGGGTCGGTGTTGCCGTGCCGTAGCTGCTGCCTTGGCGGCGCGCGGCCGGCCTGTGGGTAGCTCCCTTGGATTCTGGGAGAGTGTGTGAGTGTGCTAGTGTGTGAGTGTGAGTAAGGTAGAGTCCCCATCGGTAGCCCGGGGTAGAGCTTAACTCTCCCCGTGGTAAGTATATTTACATTTATTTATATCGTATATTCTTTTCGTGTTTATTTGTGTAGTAAATTTATGTATTTCTTATTGTTTCGTGCAGTGTAGGCGTAACGCGCCATTGTGAGTTGGCGCCACCCGCAGTGGCGGAAGTCCTTTGGGGACAGGAGCTGTGGCGTAAGGCAGTCGAGCACTAGGTGAGGGGGCGCAGAGCCCACCGAGCCGCAACAACACTCTCAAACTTACACAGAATGTGACAGAAAAAACAATTCTTTCACAAAATGTTATAAAAAGCACCTTTACTGCTTATTTATGTGAGTCGTGAGCTGGGATGGGATAAAGCAAAAAGCGAAACCATTTCCACCCCCTTTTCCTCTCTTAACGCCTTCATTTTCCGCTAAAGGATCACTGTCCACAAGCTTGGTGTGCTTGTAATGCGCTTTCTTTGCTCTATTTTGAGATTCTCTCGCTTTAGAAGTCTCCTCGTCAAAAGGAAAAGTTTCACTTGTTATTTTTTTCTTTATAATGTTCTTTGCGCGCAATCCCAATATCCTAGCTTTGCTTGAACGAAGCATTGGGTGTGAAGCAAAAAAAAAAGGTTTTGTAATGTTACGAGATGTAATTTTTGACTGCCAGAAAAAACATGGAGTGCACAAAAGTGATCTACGGCTTTGATAGCGTTACATTTCTAGAAATTTCTGAGTGACAGTG